GAGTGGCGTTCATGATCTGTCAGCGATGAGGCTGCCACTTGGGACGCTGTTGGAAGGTCGGACGAAAGCAGCATATGAAAGTGTGGGGCGAAATACTGACGAATGTGCGACAAGGTCAGGCAAACAGTTTCCAAAATGGGAAGGACCACATATAGTCACGTTGAGATGGAGTTACGCAGACACAATCGCCTTCTGTTGTTACACTAGGACGAAGCAACCGACACAGTTTAGTGGTCCCCTTGACTCACTGTAATCTTTACAAGTCAATCGACCACTTAAATGTTATAAGGTAAACAAAACTGAAGGGGTTGGTTGAGGCTGCGATGAGGGGGAGGAGAGAAATAAGTGTTGAGAATACTCATATTGCATGAATAGTTATGAAAATAAGATTCAGTGTTTACTTTTTTGTTTATTCTTTTAGAATTAGTTATCCACTTTGTGTTAAACTGCTTTGTTTGTTGAGAAACGTTTTAGTAATAATTTAAGCTATTGACTTCCTATTCCACTCACTCTTGTGATTCAGCTATTCTGAAATAATTTGTTGGCTCCCTAAGCTTTTGAAAATCATTTAAAAAAATATATATATATATAGTTTAGGAATTGGGAAGTTTTATGGCATGTCAGTGATTTGATTTTTATTAGTGTGTAGTTGTTTGCCCCACCCTAGCTAGACCTATCTTGTTTTCCGGACTTTTTATGTATCCTAATAATGGCCTTATTCCATAACGGTACATTTGGTACAGTATAAAATTCTCGGTGTGATAAAAGTGATGACTGTGATGACGCCTATTCACGCACAAAAGATATACATACAAGCGCATCTAATAAGGGCTTATCATCATTTCAAACCTCCCGAAGACGCAATAGTGAGTCTCCAACTAAGGTCAACGCATTTTGGATAACCCTGAACCCAACGCGAAGACCAACTGGTGGACTAGGAGTGATAAAACCCCTACAATGAAGACTGATCGAGAATAGGAAGCGATAAGCTGAGTATAGCTCCAAGGGTGGCATAGAGAATATCATGCAAAGAGGAAAATAAAGTTCATGAGAAGTCATAATGCCGGCTGAAAGTTATGACAGAGAAGGGTGTCGAATGGCAATATGACATGACTGATAGATTGTGCTCCACTCAGAACACAAAGAACACATAACAACAATAGTGAGTTATAGACTTGTCTAAATTACTGCTTGAAGGCAAAAGTTTCCTTTCTAAACAGTTAATCAAAAAATTGCCTTAATTAGATTAGTTTAGAAAGTGGATCCGTTTAGCCTGAAAAGCTTCAAATCATTAATCCGTACTATTTCAAAAGCCCCTGAGTTTAGATGAGAAGGCAGATTAAGCCACATAGAAAAGCTCAGCAAACTGTCTTTTCCAGTTATCAGAACATGAGAAGAACAACTTTTATTTTACACTCATTAATTTTATTAAATCTTGACTGAGCAGAGTGTTATTGCTTATAGAATGTATCTGACTTAGCCAACATACGTGTGTGGTTTTGCAAGTAATCACAACTACTGAGATAAGTGGCTTTTCCCATTTGGGTATACGGATTTAGCAATGGTAGTAAACGTCATGACCTAATAATCTTAGTGGTTTTCTGAAATCCTTTGTATGTTTTAACCCTGAGTGTAGCATAGGGCTTCAGGAATGAGCTTTGAAGTGTCAGCAACGATGATCTTTTTCACGTCGTAGTGCTACTAGCCGTACGCTTAACCTTCCTTCTTTACTGGGCTTAATAACGGCTAAGCGACGTCTAGGAGTGCATCGTGCACCTACCACTGATCCACCGATGCGTATACTTCGAATATATCCACCAGACAGACATAAGAGAAAGGGTGTAAACAGTAAATATTGAAGTGATCAAGCAATAAGCAAAACATTACAAATATAATTAGCGAGAGAGAGACAGGTTGAATCAAATAAATTTATTCTCAATCTTATAGCGATCCATGTGTTTGCATAATGACTTGGGCGTTGCTTTATCTTGTCTAATTATTCCCTCACCAAAAACAGCAGTCAGGAGGTCTATGCCTCGAAGTTGACTTTTTGCATCGAATTGTGGACCAGTGGAATTTCATATCAGAGAACATTATTCCACCATCTTCTCTTAATGCGATCGAATCTAATTCGCTACTCACAACGTGCAGCAGTCCGAAGTAAAATTTCATTGCGGTTCCCTTTTGAAACCAAAAAATGTTCACATCACTTTATATATGACCGGCTTGGCAACACAAATGTTGATAAAGGGATCAACTATACATAGATGCATAGCAGCACATACCATTGGTTGACATTAGTAACTGGTTGGATACCAATTACATCAGCCAACAGTGGTTGCTAGCTGATTTAAACACCAGGCAGCCATTCTGTTCATTTGTGATCGCGCTCACTAGTGACGTGCAACCGATTTGATTCAACTAAGAAAGCTCATTCAGTTCAACCACTATCTGGTTGATTTGAGTGGCATTTAACAATTTATTCATAGCAGTCAGTAGTACACAGTAATATGCAAGATTGAGCCTCCACTATACAGCGAATCAAGTCGTTTAATAATATGAAGTACAACTTACAATTCACTGTCATTAAATAAGTAATAAGGGACATTTCATCGTCAGGTTTGGTGATGCCTTCAACTGGAAGGACATCAAACAATTATATTCTCATTTTGAGTTAAAAAAATAATGAGTCTTCTTCCTTCATTATATCACCAAAAGTATTTCAGACGAGCTACTGAAGAATTTCCTCTACATCGGTTCCATTTCACTGTCCCGATACTAGTGATCAGATAATTGACAAGAAAAGGTAGGCAGGCAGCAAGTTAGTCTCATTGATATAAGAATAAAACTTGTGCACTGTAGTAGACTATAAGTCTATTATGGGTAAATTTTTGATTTTAACAAGTTTCTACAGCTGGGTACCAATCAGTCGGAAAAGAAACCTAATTAAATCCCTTGCCACTCGCGTCAGACGCATCTGCAGCTCCGACACCATGGAAGAAGAACTAAACTTCCTGAAAGAAATCTTCATACAAAATGGCTACCCACCAAGATTTGTAGAGAAAAACATCAAACAGAAAAACCAAAAGCAAGAGACACTATCCGTGCCGAAAAAGATACTTTATATGAACCTAGACTTCAAAGGAGACCTATTTAGTGACGTCCTCAGAAGGAGAATTTCCACCTCTTTAGGAAGAACTTTCCCTGCGGCAACACTAAGAATAGTGTTCTCCAGTCGCCCGCTGATCTGCAGAAACCCAAAGGACAAGATTCCGCACATGGCCACTTCTATGTGTATATATCAGTTCACCTGTTGCTGTGGAGCCAGGTACATCGGTCGTTCAACGCGCATTCTGTCTAAAAGGGTAAAAGAACACTATCCAGCGTGGCTACAGAAAGGAAATAATGGCCATATAAGGAGTGCAATAATCGAACATCTCGTCAATACTGGTCATTCCATCTCAACGAACGCCTCCTTCAAAGTAATCTACAAAGTGAAGAACAACCTTCCAAAGACAGTACGATTCCGTCTTCTTTGCATCGCAGAAGCCCTAGCCATCCAGTTGGAGGAACCAGAACTATGCATACAAAAGAAAATTATCCAACCACTTCTACTCGCATGGTAACTACTCCTTTGATTTGACCTAATTTTTCTTTGTTTGTTTGATTTGACCTTACTTCTGTTTGTATGCTTATTTTTCTAACTTAAAACCCTTGTATAATTCTGTATATTATTTTGTTTCCATGTACATCCTTTGAGCACAACTCATTCATCAAACTATTCATGCCATTACGTAACTCTTATTTAACAATCATTTATGACAACTCATCACTTTTGTTGCTATCCTCTTATCAACATCCAATTCATCTGAACCTACTAATTGTATTTTCGTTTGACAAATTTAATGTATACACACACACACACAAAATAACCATATATATTTGCGATTGTACAGCTATGAAAATGAATTCGCCGAAAAGAGACTCTTCGCTGAACTACTTGTCTTCTGTCTACTAATTTTTGATTTGTTACAGTCTCACAGTGTTATACAGTAATGTTTACTGATGACGTTTCGAGCTCAATTTATTGCTCATCATCATATCAAGGTAATCACACGACTTCCTAACTTGATTAATATAGTTCCATTATTTTTCACTTGATTTTCACAAGTGAATGATTATGAGCAATAGTTTGTGCTCGAAACCTCTCCAGTTGATGTAACTGTACAACACTGTGTGATTTATCAAAATAAAATCTTATCCATAATGGAGTTATACTCTACCACCACAGTGCCCAAGTTTTATACTTATATTAACTGTGAGACTTTATCAAAACAAAAATTTACCCATAATGGAACAAGTAAGTCTGATTGGCCAGGGAATTAGTAAAACCCGAATAGTAAGCGACGGGGAGAAGATTTGTATCCTGCCTCGGAGCTGGTTGGAACTCACACAAAGGGACCTAGTGAAATCAAGGTGTGAAGTGCTGAAGTCGCTCGCCTACGTTCCACTCGGAACCTATTGAATAAATAACAATAATCATAATTAAATTGCAGACCTTAATCAACAACTGTCTTCGCTGGCTCTATACTGAAGATCAGATGGCCGGGCCGGAATGATTCACAAGAAACAAGAAACTATGGCTGGGAACAAACAAAACAAGAACCGATCGCCAACCAACAAATATGCAGGAGAAAATGGAGATGGACTGGACACTCACTCGCTGAGGAGGTCGATGGGTGACATGGCCCGCGCGTCAGGCCACCTATCGGGTGGAACCAGAAAAGGAAGTGGCGACTGGGACGTCGGTGGAATGGTGACATGGAGGAGATCATGTGAAGAGGAGTTGAAAGAGTATGGACTAACATGGATGGGTGCAGGTGAAAAGTACAGCAGAAGGAAGACAGAAGTGGCAAGTGGAGACGTGCAGTTGAAGCCCTATGTTCCACTAGGAACCCAAGGGAACAATAATAATAATAGTTAAATAAGAATAAACTTACAACAAGAAAAATGTTAGATCTGGTATCTCTTTTCCGCATTCTTCTGATAACATGACAAATCGATAAGCTGGTCTAGCAACAAGTGACCATTCATTACTCGACGTATACTGATCAATATCAACTTCTGTACGATTGTCTAAGAATTGTAAATCCAACTGTTCACTGTTATATGTCCATGAGGCAAATTTTAAAAAACAATGTTGGTAATCGAATGGGAAATTCTTTATATTAATTGGACAATTTGATTTGAATATTGCTGGTGGACTCCAGTATACCCGGCCCATATAGTCAACGTTTAGCATAACATCACGTTTCTCTTTTAAGCGTTCATCAGCACTGAAAGTATTTTAAAAAAAAACCAAGATTGGGATTAGACATGTTGAAATACCAAAAATAAGTTTTCATGCTTAAAATCTGCTTAATGTCATTTTAGAATTGAGTAGCTGTGTTGGCGAACCTAAAAAAAATAATAATATAATTGTATGCATGTTATTATTAGTCCATTTGGTCTCGGGTTCGGCAGTAAGGGATCAGTTTCTAGTCTACACTTCACTCTCCTCTCTTCAGTTATTTTTAGCTGTCTGCACAACTGCCACGGATGAGCTTTCATTTCCTCCATGTCACTGTCAGACACACATTCAACCCATTACTTACTTTTACTTTACTTCGGCTATCTCCTACGGGAGGATGAGCCGGCTTCATGAACCACGAAGTTTCATGGGAAATGGGTACGAGTGATGTCCCCAGCATCGCTCGGCCTTTGTTTGAGAGTGCAGCTCTAGCCTTTACACAACCAAGTGTGACCTGCAAGGCAGTAGGAGTGGAGTAGGGAGTCCACTATCCATTGGTAGCCGGTGACCGGAGTCCGGTTCATTCGCCTTTTTGAATGCGGCCAGTCATCCAGGGCATCCAATAAGCCCTTTGTCCATACGTCTGCCGGTGAGCTCCGGTGAGCTTCATACGCCAGTCGTTGGAGGTTTGGAATCAGGGTTTAGCCATCTCCCCTAGACTGTCATCCAATGGACAGTCAACCCGGTGAAGAGCGCCGGGCATCCGCTTTTGCCCTCTCACTCTGGTGAAAAACACCTCCGCCACGTGAAGGCAGCGAGTAGGACTTCCTCAGGAGAGGCTATGTAAGACGCCCGGTCATATGGGAGCATTTCAAGAGGTGCACAGAGGGGTGGCCAACCCGCAGCGCAAGACACCCACCCCCGACCAACCCATTGCTTCCAATTAACCTGGCTGACTTTTGGTGTCACTCACTTGTTTCCTCAGCATATGACCAATTCATCTCGACTTCCTCCTGTATACTTACCAGCTAAGTTTCCGGTTCCTAAGTGGAGACTCGATGCCAGAGCTTCTTGTTGCTTATCCTCTCTGACAATCTCATCCTCATTACTGAAGCAGTGAAGTAGGTAGCTATTGATAATAGTCCGCAGTCTGATGGAAATCCTTCTTGTCCAGTTTATTAGTTTACTTATTTACAATCCAGTCCTAAGCTAATTTAAAGAAGCAAGGTCAAATGTGTGGATAACGATCCTGTCCGATAATCACATAAACTGCAGAGTACACAGACATATACTGTGATGATATAGTGTTAATAACTAAATGATTAAAATTAAGCATAAACTATTGCCGGTCATATTCATAATAATGCTCTGCATGGCCTTACTACCTCTCTTCAGTTTTTATTCCAATTTTACACATATGCATTTCGATTGCATATATCTCAGTTGGAGATAAAATATAAGCGGTACTTGTCAATTTTTAACTGTTGCAAGAAACAGGATGTTTGGGATAAATAGAGACTAACTTTACTACACGATGTATCCTAGAGCAGATTTTTTTACGATACACAGGAATAAATGAGTTTTGTGAACAACATCCCAGAGAGTTCGGTGTTTGCAAGCACGTTAGTCCCTGGTTACCTTTACTCAGCTGACGCGAACAGAAAACTGACTGACAAAGGGCGATAATAGTTGATGCGATCCATAGGTAAGAAGTATACTTCAAAAACCTTGAATAGTAATGGACAAATCTAATGTCAGTCAGCCTAGTCAACATGTTACAAAAATTCCAAAACACAACAAACTGGTCAAATACAAATAAACAAAATAAATAAATCAAGAATTCGTCAGCTGCTAATTTGCTCTTCTAAAGAAGAGACAAACTTGTCTCTTCAGAGTTTTGTAAAAAACATTTTTCGTGTGACTTAATCTAGTGTCGGTGGCATAGCGGTTAAGACGCTAGCCGACCATGCACATGTTCCGGAGTTCGATCCCCGGCCCACGCACTCCTTTACCTCGCTAAACCAGAAATAATGCTGGTAAAGAGGAAAGGTTGGGCATGAGGCTAGCAACCTCATCCTGTAAAATAAACACTGCTAGAGAAACTTCAAGCCACTAGCTTGAAGCCCTATGTTCCACTGGGGAACGTGAAGAAAAAGAGATAATCTAGGCACAAAGTAAAAGAAGAAAATTCAGATAAGAATGGCATACATACACGCATGTGACTTCATTTCATATGCATAAAAATTCATATTTTTTAATACCAGTCGCCAGAATGTGTCTGTGTGTACTTAGTGTTTATCAGTTAAATCGTATTTACATAAACTTTATGCGAAATAGACGTGGATACTTCAAAGGATTCTTGAAACGACCACCACCTCACCAACAACTCATTCATAAAAATATCACCGCCACCAGCAACACACAGAACCATCAGTGAACACCCAGGCATCTACGGAAAAAGAAGTTTTGAAGTCTATGAAGTTAAAAGAAGCCCTCAAGCAAAATTAGCAGATCAAATCCTCCAGAAGAGTTGAAAAAGGAACCAGAGACGTCAGCAGACATGCTAACTTCTTTGCTGTGAAGGGTAGGTGTGTGTGTGTGTGCTTGCCAATCGGAAGAATGACTACTTTTCAAAGTACCAAGAAAGACTTAAGTTTAAGTGAGAACTGATGCGCCACCAACCTCATACCCACTTTAGGAAAAATATTAGGCGGCATCATCTGGGAGAGACTAAAAACATGCCACTGATGTAAAACCCACCCGGAACAAGTTAGATTCAGGGATATAAATGGTGTTCGGACCTAAATGAAACACTACGCATAATAATCGAACAGAGAAAAGAATTGTAGTCAAATCTCTGTCTCAACTTCACAGACTTTGAAAGGGCTTCCAACAACGTCAACTGTGAATCACTTTAGTAACTTCTTCAATACTATCGAGTTCACAACCAGAAGCATTTACAAGCTTCATTCAACAGCCGTATGACTGAGCCACATAGTGAGCGGTTCACAACGGAAAACTCAGTGAGGCATTTGGAGTGAAGATAGAAGTATGAGAAGACTACCTACTATCACCGATGATGTTCCTGATTGTAAAGGAAGGTAAGAACACGGGCATACATTGAACCGACGAATCGATACCAGAAGATCTAGACTTCGAAGGTGATTTTTGTCCCATATCTCAGAAGCTCAAAGACGTACAAGTGCAGATGCAACCACGACAAAAGTTTAGGCGAACTAACAACAACAAACACGAATCTTCACTAGCAGGATACATCTGAAGCAATTCCTCTTCTTCATTCACCCTGGCAACAGTGTTTCATTCAATTTGTATGACGATTTCAGAACTAGCTTGGATCTATACGGAAAACAAGTCAGACATTCACTGCTATGAAATCAGTGTGAACACCGACAGCGCTTACTCAGCACAAAAAACGGGATCCGAATTTCTAATACTAATGTCGTATAACTAACTGCTTCTACATAATTCAAGGATTTGCCAAACCACCTAAAGTATTTCTAGCAGACTACTGGCTGCATTTGCTCGTTTGAGGAGATCAGATGGCCAGCCAGAATAGACTTGGACTCCTGCACTGAAAAATCCAAAAGCTTGTCACCCGAAAAGAAAGACGTACATTGATGAGAGATTGATGCGATTTGTACAGTCACAGAGCCAGTTGAAAATGATATCAGAGAGAGTGGAGCAGAGCAGAGATGTAATCCTGTGAATGCAAACCAGGAATAAATAAAATAATAACATAACAAGGGATGTGGAGTACAATTGACTTTCAGCTGTCAATAGGATGCCTGAGTTCGAACACGATGCTCTACCTACTAAGGACCAGTCAGCCGGTAGGCAGTTTCATAACCCGGAAATAGAAATATGAACTTACTAGTTATATAGCACTATATCTGGCGTCCAGATACCACTCGGTGGTATGCGTACCTCACGGATATTTGAATAATTGGCTGGATCCCAGCGTAGAAGTTGATCAGTCCACGTCTAAAATTATATTTAGAAAATCATAAGACAATCATTGTAATTCTATGTAAGTAATTAATGGAGTCAATTTTTAGCTGAACAAACCTGAAACACTTCCTTTCCAGACTATTTGAACAGAGGTTGTCAATTACAACCTGACTTTCTTCAGGCGGTTGGTTTTGTGTGATTGTGTTTATAACGTTTTCAACGAATACTGTTGTCACACAAAATGTTACGTTTAGGTGTTTTAAAGGTATTTTATCAGCGTATTTTACACAGTTGAAATATCTACCTTAAAGTCTTCTATACTAATCACCGAAAATACCAATTGATTCATAAAGAAAATAAAAGACATATTCAAAGGAAAAAATTTTCCTTATCGACGAAATCATCTTCACAGGCTGTACAGTCCTATTCATACTTACCAATAATGTATAGTGGTCTATTATTGAGTAATAGGCGGTGACATATTTGATATAATTACTCAGGAATGGCTTCAGAAGTGAAAAGAATTAAAAGTTGTAAATTACGTGGTACTCAACGGCACAAAGATAGAAATTCGATAAGGTTAAAATTGCTCTTGAGTTAGAATAAAGGTGGTAGTTGAGTGTCAATTTAACAAGTGTGAAGAGGCTGTGAAAATGTACAGAAGAAGGACGAAGCGCACGCTTTCCAAACGCATCTCTGAACATTATCCGGCATCGTTAGCAAGGGCCTAATGCAAGACAATTACTAGCTCAATTCTCAAGCATTCGGTGAACTCAGGCCACATAGCTCCACCAGAGTCGTCTTTCAACATCATCTACAAAGTGATGCCAAATGGTACAAAGAGCATCAGGTTTCGGCTTTTGTGTACGGCGGAGGCGCTGACAATTCGTCAATACAATCCTGAACTCTGTATACAGAAAAGGTTTGTCCAGTCTCTTATTCTACCTTGGTCTTAACCTCTTCACTAATCGTTCCCTGTAGAAAAGACTTCGAGTTTTTCTTTTCTTTTTTAATTTTTAATTTTACTTTTAGTTTGCTCTTGCTTTGATAATTAATTCACTATTATCACTCTAATATGTTCCTTTTGTTTATTTTCACACCCTCTACACACTTGCTAAATTGACACTCAACTACCACCTTTATTCTCACTCACTCAATATCAATTTTAACCTTATGAAATTTCTATCTTTGTGCCGTTGAGTACCACGTAATTTACAACTTTTAATTTTCACTTCTGAAGCCACTTCTGAGTAATTATATCAATTATGTCACCGCCTATTACTCAATAATAGACCACTATACATTATTGGTAAGTATGAATAGGACTGTACAGCCCGTGAAGATGATTTCGTCGATAAGGAAAATTTTCTTCGCTGAATCTGTCTTTTATTCTCTATACGATTCAGGAAATTTATTTCCTCCCAGTGACTGACTACAGAATAGAGTTGACTGAAGTTTTTTCTAACGAGAAGTTATGACGACTAGGGTCTACCAAGTCAGATATGAAGGTAGGTACTGTGTATGTCGTAAATTGGCCAGTGGACTCCACCTAATTAAGTGAATGACCAACAAACTTGTCTGGTGACCTGGAAGTCTTGGTTTCAACCCTTGGAGAGATTACAGGTACTCACCTCTGAATAGTTCCAAATTGTCCAGTATGCTCCCTAGTTTTCAGTGATTTTCCAACTGATGTTATTTCATCATTTACCTTGAAACCAATCATATCCCCGCCAGCCAAAACTTAGATGAAAATGGCAGCTTTAAGCATTAACAGTTAAAGGGAATTTCCCTATTTTAAACTGAGGTAAAATGTTCCACAGCTACGATGCAACGTAGCCACTTCAAATACTTAATTCCCCAAGTGTTTGACATAACTAATACAGTGCAAAATCATACTGACATTATTGAAACTAAGTTTATTTGGTGATGAGATAAATGCAGTGGTCCATATAATATTTATTTGCACTAGAGTTACCATGGAAACACTGAAATTAAAAAAAAACGTATCCAAGTGGAATTCCATAACATTACTAATAATGACACTATGATTTCCGGTACACATGAAACAAATTCACTTCATTCAGAATAATTGATTTTGCTTTTTATTTCAAATTACTTTTACAAAAGCTGCCGTAATTATTTCTGTTACTTGCCAAATATAGTTCCCTATTTTTCTCTCACTCATATTATCATAATATACTTAAAATTATACAGCTTAGTCACAAGAGACCAACTGATGCCATGTGTGATTGGTAACCTTAGTGTTAGTATACTTACTGAGCTGATTGTCATTCATGTTTCCAAGCTAGGTACACGACTTCCTATCGTAACTCCCCTTCTGAATCGATGTTGTGTGGTAAGTAGTTAATCGTCAGTGAGGTCTTAGATGTAGCTTTAGTGCTTTTTGTCTCACTCCTCAGAGCACGGCGTATGTGTAACTCCATTGAAAGTGATGTCCACTGCTGACAAGTATCATTCTGATCTCTCCCTAATTCTTCCCCGTTTCCTGTGGAAAATGGTGTTTCATTCGCGAGCACTGAAGAGTCAGTAGCGGTAATGCAGTTTTTGCAATATGAGATTGTTAACCTCACGTCCAATCTTCCTTCTCTGAGCTTATCACCTTTTGACTAGTAAAAGTATGATATTTAAGAGTGTTCCCTTCGAGAATCAAAACCGGACCATACGAATTTTTGATGAACCACCGACTCACTGTAAATCAGTCCTGTGATACTCAGTGCAAAGTTGGGACGTTGGAGTTCTGTATAACAGACCAGTGTAAAGTTGTTTAAGGATACAATATAACTTAATTTTAGCCTGGCTTATATTCTGCATCTAGAGTGAGAATAATCCTAAAACAAACTCTCCGAAGAAATAAAGTAAGTGATTAATTTTCCAAAGTATGTAGGAGGTTGTCTTCACAAACATCAGTGTACTGAACGAATTATGAAGAGGTTAAAGCTGCCTATGATCACTGGTGTCTGCGCTGTCTCCTCACTGCTAGGCGGTATCATATGGTGACTAATGTCAATCAGCTGAGCTGTGAAGCTGCATCGATTCAAATGGTTATGGCTGGTCTTGCAGATACCAGGTTATCGCGCCTTCCTCATTGAGTAAGGTTAGCCTACATAGGACTAGGTTGAAATAGATATAGGTAAGACCATCGGATAAAAACTTGGGATAACTCCATGATGTGTTTAACTGTTGGTCTGAGCCAGCCATGTAGGCAGGTGTAAAACACCTGGCTGGCCGGTTGGTTGGTTGTGATCCTCGAGAAGTTAAGAACTGAAGGTCGGAGAATGTTAGTGAAGTGGTTCAAAAACGTTGTCAGTTGTAACTGTTTCCTGATCTACCTTTAGCGAAAGTTGTCAGATATAGCTGTCGAATGTTGGTTTACTGGGATTTTAGGAATTGTTAAAAAGACGATTTCAGCGAAGAGAATTTTCTTTTCGACGAAGTTATCAACTAGGCTATACATTCGTGTATTTATATTATATATGTGTCCAAGGAATACTATCCAGTGTCGTTGGCTAGTGCTTATCCTTAAATCTGACTTCATAGACCCTCTGTGTCATGACTTCTCACAAGAACTTCAAACAAATTCATCTGGTAACCAGTAACTAGTGAAGAACAAAGCGACAACAGTGAAAGCAACAGTTTGATTGGTTCTTGTTTAACAGGTAAAATATATGACTTTTATTCAGTCAAAAATCAAAAAATCATACTCTGCCTTATCACACACAGTTGTGTTGATAAACACAGACTTACATCGGAAGAAAAAGAGAAGGCGACGGGCATCTTTCATTTTCTTAACATTTTCAGTAATGATTACAATCAATAAGGAATACAATACAACACTCACACACACACACACAGTGCAGCTGCAAGGCGGTTACACGACGTATTTAAACATCCGGCGATATGTCTTTATATTCCTTCTAGATAGCAAAATGACACCACCTACAGTCCGCAGAAGCTACCAGCAACACACAATTTAATTTTGACAGAGGTTGTAGTAAGTCGTTGATAGTGCGACTTCTAACTGTAACCCACTGCTGATGAATTGTTCCCACTCAATTAGTTATATCATCACTTATTAAGCTATGCTGAAATGCTTAATATGTGTCTGAGACTTAATTAAATGAGCTTAACTCACAACATATTTTGTTTATCACACTCTCTTAGTATTATTGACAATTTATCCAATGAATTACGCAATCACATAATTTATTTACATCGCTGTTCTGCTGTTATCTCTGCCTGCCTTTGTTTTTTCCGAGAGACTTTATGGATATATATATATATATATCCTTAATTATATTCTTTAATTATTTTTGTATATTTAGTTTCTTCGATAAATATTTTCTCTTCATATATTACTATTCCAGGTAATGCTGTCGATAATGTTAGATACAATCGTTGCTGCTGAACACCTGGTAATGACTAATAGAATGAATATTACCAAAAGATCATATTATCATTATTATTCCCACGGGTTCCAAAATGAAACATAAGGCTTCAACAACAAATCTCCGTCCTACGCTGTTTTATGCAGTCTTTTATAGCTGGCTCTATGATTGCCTATGAGCTTAAGTTTCCTTCTCAAGCAATGTCTTTAATGTAACCTTCAGATTTTTATGTCAAACGCAACAATAACCCATTCGGGTTCCACTGGACCTTTGACCTCACACTTGGTGTCACTCAACGTTCTCCACAGCGTATGTCCAGTCCGTATTTATTTCCTTATGCCTATCAGCTGACTGGGCAATGGGTTCTTGTTTGATTCATTTACCCAGTTCCTTGTTGCTTATGCATTCTGGCTGGCCGTTTGATCTTAACTTTCAAGTGAACGCAACTGTTGATTAAAGTCTACAGTCCAGATATGATGGAGAAGATTTCTAGCTCAGGTGGATGATTTTGATGTGGTTGTGTTCTCTGAGCTGGATGGTGGATTTACGAAGCTTTCATCGCCCGGCTAGGCGATGAGATAGACCAAATTTATCAACCGATAAGAAAGAAATCCCACACACAAAGGGTCAAAGTTCAGGTCAAAGAAACAGTCAGTTCCAATACAAGTAGCTGCCTAGAAGGTGTAAAAACACACAAAAACAACCAATCATGTCCAAGGTAACCAGGAGAGGTGAATAATAAACTCATGGAGAAATCTAAAAGCTCACTTCAATCAAATGAAGTGCGCACTGAAGATGTGGCCTAGTAGGGCGATGAAAGCTTCGTAAATTAACTATCCTGCTCAGAGAACACAACCACATCAAAAGTCTAAAGTCTGTTACAAATGACTTTAGCGAAGAATGTTTGCTAAGTCTTTTAACCATAAAGAGAGACCAATAGGAAATCGACCCTATAGATATGGAGCTTGCTCTTTATGCTAAGTGAAGTAGATTTTTACACTGATTCCATAGTAATGACGGTCTATTTTCGACCCTGCTTTCGAGGTCCTTATCTATGGTGCTACTTGCAGTCTGAACGATGCTGCCTAGACAACTTAAAGAGTCGGATTTCTTTAGATTTCTGCTGTGTTGATGATAGCTGACACTTCATACTGAATGAAATTTAGTTAGACAGTCATCCAGAATCAGAGAGCACTGAACAACTGTTTTACCTCGACTTTAAACTAACTCTCCATCCTTGCGAACTCGGTGTCCGACGAAAGACCAAACCCAAGACCGTCAAAGTTATTGAACGTCTGATCCACAATTCAATGAAGATTGTGATCTAGTCCCATCGCCGAATAATGACATTGATGTGAATCCATTTTGCACCCTCAAAATAGTGGAGATCACCGGCTATGATTTCCCATTAAACCTTAAGTATATTTATCCTGTTACCTTTCATAAGCCGGGAAGTGTGATATATTCATATTTTGGTCATTTACCAGTAAGGAGGAAGTGGAGATGGATTGGACACTCACTCGCTGAGGAGGCCGCTGGGTAACATCTCGCGCGCGTCAGACCATTCCTCGAGTGGAACCAGGCCGAAAAGAAAGCGGCGAGTGGGTGGGACGTCAGTGCACGGGTGATATGGAGGAGATCATGTGGAAGAGGAGTTGAAACAGTATGGACTAACATGGATACAGGTGAAAAGCACAACAGAAGATAGAAGCAAGTGGAGACGTGCAGTTGAAGCCCTATGTTCCACTAGGAACCCAAGGGAACAATAATAATAATATTTGCATCAAGCAGTTTTCAGTCGAAGAGATTTCCACTTAGCTATTGGTATAGTTATTCACTCTACTCAAGACGTTCTTAATAATGCTTGTCGAAGCAAGCAAATGATTATGAGTTTACTTGAGAAACACCAATGCTTATTACAAGTTTCTTGATAATAAAGATCAGGCGGTTGTCGAGAAAGGAGAAGCAGCAAATAACTCTTACATCATACCAAATTAATAACCTATCGCTCAACAAATATACAAAGGAAAATAAAATTGGGTTAGAAATATGCTGAGGAGACCGTTGAGTGAAATCTTGCCCCAGGCCCTCGAGTAGGCGCCCAGCGGGTGGTAACGAGCTAGATGTTCACAGATTACATGGAGGAGATCTTGCGATGGGCAGAATATAGACTTATAGATAGTTTTCGGATCCTGATAAAGAGGACTGCAGGGAACAGAGTTGAGAGCGGAGATGTGCTCCACCGAAACCCTACCTTCCAATCGGAGCCTAAGAAAATAATATATATATATATATATATATATATCGACTTACGTATTTTGACCAAACATTTATCGTTAAAATTTGATTCTTCTCGTCTAAATCCAATAGCTGAAACAGTGATAAGCCATAACCGACAACAACACGATCTTTTGTATTTTTCACTGGACGTCCAATTTTTCCAGCTTTTTCATAATTACCGATCAATTGTTTAATTAAACGCTTCTCCGACGATGGTATCACTTGTTCTAAAATTAATAGATAAGTAGATAGATAGATAGATATAACTATATATCACTGAGTGTTAAAAATAAAAGTGTAGTAATATTAAACAAGACTCACATAGAAGTGACTCTTTTAACCAGGCATATATGAGAATACAGTTCACTGTGGAAAATGAATGAAAAGACTGGACTTTCTTGAACTTCTGTGAACTACAGTTGAAAATATACAAAAAACATTGATCATGCAGCATTCCGGGATGCAAACTGTGTCTGTGAATTTCGGTTATTTTTACTTTGACCAATAGGCTTAAAAAAAGGTCCGGTGAGGATATTTTTCAACCGCCCTGAAAAAGCGACCGTGTTCAAAAGAAAGGTTTTATGATAAAGCTGCAGTTATTGAGTGAAAAAGGCTTACAGGATAATGGCTATCCTCGAAACATCAAATGGTGAATACAAGAGGGAGAGAGAGAGAGAAACCACTCATCTGAAAGTTTGGATTCATAAATGATGAAATGCCTGGATGAATTAAAATTTGTGAAACGGTCACTGCTGTCAGAGTGAGTCAGATTTTACCGATTAAATTGCTTATTTGTGGTGAGAGCTGGCCGTTAGTCAAATTTGGTGGACAATAATTTACGTCAATGTTTATGTCCTTAATATTGTTGATTTCCTTAATAAACGATGTGTTGCCTGGCCTTCGTTTTCTGTTGTTACATACTGATACAATCTAGGTTTGGGATGCCCTTTTCCTATGTTGCCCTCCATAGCATACACCAATTCGTGTGTACTAGCTGAAGTACAGATATTTGGCAAACAGAAAGAAGAACTTCTGACCTCATTTCAGAGCATAATCTGAGGGAGTTGCGTCTGAAATTGTGAAAGCCTCTATTATTGTGAACTGTCGTTACCTAGTAGATATTTACCAAAACATTTTAAAAGCATTCAGGATTAATTCTCAAGTATTGGTGTTGTAGGGATTTTTTGTTTGATTGCATGGAGGATTTCATCATGTCGTGAAGTGGCAGAAGTTAGAATTCAAGAACCATTGGGTCGGGTCTCAGTGGCTCAATGGTCTACGAGCTCGCCTTGTAACCAGAAGATCCTGGGTTCGAACCCCGGTGGGTGCGTACTGATGAAGAGTCCCGAACTAGGACGAAACAGCTGTCAAGTACTCCCAGGTTTTCCAATGGTTCTCTAACTGATGTCAGCTCATGATGAAATCCTGAATGCATTCAGGATTAATAAAGTACATGTTAATTCTGGCCCACTACATATCACTGAAGCTAATGGGCTTGAACGGTTAACACTGAAATTTTTGTGTTCACAAACTACATAACATTTATAACATTAGGTATTAATTCAGTGTGAACTTTATGTAGCCATACAGAATAATGTTCCTTGACTCTCTTAAATCAAACAAGCACCAAAGGACCTAGATCCACGACACCAAGTGAAGTTGCAGATACGCATAGAATGTGACAATTTACCTTCCGAGTTACAAAGGAATATTGAGTGGTAGAAGAACGCCAATATTTATACCGATGCACAGAATCCTGGTTTCAGAGCGTTGGCGAGAAGGTCTGCTTTGCAGGCTACATTCGTGTATAATATCTTCTTTGGTGAGGAGATGGGATTTTCTTCGTTAGGTTTCAGTCTCATGTGTTTATCTTTAAAGCGTGCGGCGATAGCTGACTTCAATTAGCGTGATCCCTTCGTCCACCGAAAGTAACTCACACACACATGCATATACGAGAGTAATTGTGTATGTAGTTGAGATTGCACAGATAAGTAAATGACTTCACCGTAAATTGTCTTTCTTTGCAAAAGTTTTATTCGATCTTATTTCCAAAAAGCTTCTCTATGTTTACCTGGAGTCCTGTTTTCAGTGATTCTTCTGTAAATATTCGAGTTCATGAACACTGAGCATAGATCATCCGCCAAGTACAGATCTCCAAGTGCTTTTCCGCTGGTCCAACGTACTCATCTCTTCTCACTTCCCACGGTTGGTAGAATGGTTCACTTCACCACTGTCAGGATTATTATCAGGGATAGTAGGCAGTGTTGTCTAACCCCTGTCTTTGCTTGAAATGTTTCAGCGACCACTCATCATTTGGCTATTGTATGAGATTTTTAAATGCTTACGGTGTTGCACTCTGCAGTGTTGCAGTAGTTGTCGAATTACTTCGTGGTCATAGCCATCAAAGTCGATAAGGCTGAGGTAGAGGTTTGACTGCCATTCTATGCTCTATTCAATGATGGTAGCAGTTTGTTTCTCACATGATTTACTTCTCCTGTTCTCACCGGAGTTTCGCATGCACAGCCCAGTTTGCCAAACGGTCCGAAGACTGGAAAAAAGGCGGGAGATTAGGTATGAAGATAACCACCCTACTACTACAGAAATTCCGTCTGATTGCTACAGAAATTTCAAAGCACAGAAAAAAAGTTATTTTTAATATTCTTTAAAAACTTTCTTCCATTTTTTGATCATTTTTAATTTGAGATAAAATTTGAAATCAATGTTTCATCATTTTTTATTCATACTATAGACGCCAACTGGTTGCAAATAATACGAAATTCTGGAGTGGGGTGAAAAAGAATGTATTTTGCTCTGTTAGCAGTATTGTATTGTATAGTACTCTGAATATCCCTGAACTTGACTTCCGTTGAAATAGCTGTTTTGTAAAAAAGGGGGTAAAAGCGAGGAGCCCAGGACATAAAAGTGTGCAACAAGTCAATCCATGAATATTCGTGTAAATGAAATAATGAGCGTTTTCTATGAAACGAAGCAAAATTTAATTAGTTTTATGTGTGCATTACTGCAGATCTCTTTTATGTCTGATCTGACTTTTTATTTTCCACTATTTTTAATATTATCATTACTATTTTTATGTTTATTCATTCCATTGCATTGTGATCAGGACATAAAGTTTCAGCAGAGCATTCCTATTCCACTCCCTTCCCTGTCATCACTTGCAACTAACTGCCAACTGACCACCAGCCCAATAAGCTTTTGTTTACTTTCCACATGATCACATCCTCCGTGACACCCTGGGACATACGCCGACCTTGTTACTCATTTTCCATTCGTTATCTAACCTGGTGTGTGAAGTCCTCAGTGTGGGGTCAAGCCATCTCCATTACCTTCTGCAAAATTGTCGGTCAATAAAATTTTATTTTACGCAGATTCCTTATTGCATATATCCCTTCTGGTTGATTGTCTGAACTTTTTTTTATCTAGGCAGTCAGCAGGGCAGGCGTTGATGAAAGTTTGTAGTGAACTGTTAAAAATGCTTTCGGCGACGGACGCATATACCAGACCTCTGAACCTTGACAGGAAAGCTGACTGTAATGACAACAGTTTCAAGCAGAATTTGGATCTCATTTCACCATGAGCTGACATCAGTTATAGAACCATTGGAAAACCTGGCAGTACTGGACAGCTGTTTCGTCCTAGTTTTGGACTCTTCAACAGTACGCACCCACCGGGATTCGAGCCCAGGATCTTCTGGTTACAAGGTGAGCTCATAGACCATTAAGCCAATGGGACCCGATCCAATGGCCAGCCCATGAATTCTAACTTCTGCCAATTCACGAAATAGCGCAACCGCTAGCCAATGTCTTCGGCGAGTAATTGTCCTCACACCCGACCTGCTGCACCCTACTGGTCACTTCTCACTAGAAGCCCAGGTAACTACCTACCTAAATAGGGAAAGTCGCTAGTGAGCATCTAACTGATATTCAAGTATTGGTTTGTAGGGGTTTGGTTGGTTGGTTACAGGATTTCTTGTACCACAATGACTTCAAAGTAATGATCGTCTGTCCTGCTTCCACAGTCCAATTCTGACTGGCTTTGACATCCTATTCTGTGCTGCCTGTACTTAAGACGGTTCTGCGCATGTTATGTAACTGAAGGAAACAAACTCCATTACAACTCTTCCACTGACGCTGACTGATGTTTGTGGTTAGCATGTGGGTATCTTCATCCCCTGTGTGTTGTCTATGTTCACCCACGGTCTTCTGTCTTTGTAGTCTCTTCTGACAACCTGGTGGTTTCCACTTATATATCATTCTGCGTCACTGTTTGTTTCTCGCTAATTCGACGGATTCTGTCCTTTATTCGGAGTATAAATTTTAAGGCTAGTTAGTTTACTTCTCATTGCCAGCTAGATTAGTCAGGAAAGATACAAGACTATTGAACTTTGCTGGACTGAACGTTCCCCAGGATGTGAAGTTGCAAATAGTCGCCATGGAAACTGGCGACTGAACATTTTTTACTGGAGTAGGATAACTTTGGAAGGGAAGTCCTCCACTTCATTGTCTACTGAAGCTGGTGTCCCTCAAGGCGCTGTCCTTTCTCCTTTTCTTTTTCTTTCTTCTTGCATGACTTGCCTCACTCTGATGTAATTAACTTTGTGAAGTACGCTGATGATTTAACAGTTTCAATGGCTGCTAACTCCCAGCTAGATTGTACCAAAATAAATAGCTTTCTTGATGTGGTTTTGTTCTCTGAGCTGGATGGTTAGTTTGCGAAGCTTTCATCACCTTACTGGGTGACATCTTCAGCGCATACTTCAAATAGCTTTCTGCTGGGAGTCAGTAAATGGTCTGAGTCTAACAGTGTTAAACTGAATCCTTCTAAACGTCAAACTGTTAATTTCAGCTTAAGATGTAAAAGACAGTTAAAAGAAGTCATCGATTCTCATGACAGTTGTAAGATTGACGATAATAATATAGGAAATTAATCAGAAATTAAGTATCTTCTCTCTTCTGATCTCTCCTGGTCTTCCCATGTCTTAGTGATCTCCAGTAAAATATTCCGCCTGACATTTTACATTAAGCAGTTAAGACACTCGGGTATAACTCAGCCCCTCCTCCTACAGTTCATAAACTTTTGCATCTTACCTATTCTACTTTATTCTTCACCCTTATTCTTTCCTGGTTTGATTAAAAAGAACTATGTCACAATTCGCAGAATGCTGAAGACTGTCAGTAGGGTGAGTGATGTCCCAGTGTATCACATAGTT